GAAGACAGAGGCTAGCAAAAGTGCTTAAGGGTGATTTTAGACCACTTAGAATGACCACTAGAAAAGTTAAATCCAGCCTAAATTTTAAAATGCTGGAAAAATGTCCAAGCAGATCAGAGCTTGTGGAGTATAGGAAAGAGATTTTAAAGTACATGTGATTTAAAGGGTCAGGTGACATATAGGACCAGGTATAACATTTTAAAAGACAGGCACAGTTTAAAGGGTAATAATTTAAAAGAGTAAACGTTACTTAACTGAGGCAGTCTTCTGGAGGAGGGGAAAACAGCTTCTGGAGGAGGGGAAAAAAAGAAAAGAAGTGCTTTTTTAGCAGTTACATGAAGGAGAAAAGAAAAGCAGGTTGAACACAGGGGTGGATTTAGGATTCACCAAAGAGACAAAGAGAATCAGATAATCAGAAAACTCAACAGCTCTTTTCCTACCACCAAAACAAACCTACTGACAGAAAAACCCACTGAAGTACGTGGGCTTTTGCTAGGCTGACAGAAAAGGGCTCCTTTCAAAATAGATAATTAAAAAAACAAAACTCCAATATCATAAAAATGAGAAAAAGAAAGTCAGTAGAGAAATTTTGCAGAAAATCAGAAAACACAAAATCAAAACCTCCAATTCTGGAAAATCCTCTGCACAGTGACCATGAAGCAAAAGAAAAGTGTAAGTTCACACTCCAGACAGAATTAAGGACATCAAGCATTTGAAGATACGAAAAACAACTGTGAGTCAGAAATGCAACATGGACAAAAACCAGGATAAATAAAAAAAGCAGTTGATTGAACTAAGGAAATGGAAAGAAGACAAAATGGTCTTAGAAATGAAGCATAAATTTTAAAGTGCCCAATTGAAAATAGACTCTAATGAAAATTTAATAAGGGGTTTAAAGATACACAGAGAAATAACCAGGAAAATGAAAACGACATAAAGAAGGAAATAAGAGTCTGAAGAAGAGGCAGATTTTTACCTCTGTCTTCTTAGTTTTTTTTTGGCTGGCTCTGAGAAACCGCGCTAAGACAGATTAACAGGAGAAAGGCATATAAATTTAGATAAGTTTCACATAACACGGAGGTCCTCATAAGGAATGAGGACCCAAAGGAATGATCAAATCCACATTCTTTTATAGTTGGTTGAACAGAGAAGCAATTGAGAAAAACTATGTGAGGAGGCTAAAGGAAGGTAAGAATTATTTTAACTAGGTCTGTTTGCACAAATTTTTTTTTGCTCTCAGCTTCTGGTCCTTCATAAGAATGTTGCTTTCCTTCTGGTTTAGGAAGAACATCTTTCACTTGGGAATTTCATATCCTACTTTTTAAGAAAAAGAAGAAAGGTCAATATGTTTTTCTTTGATTTGCTCTTTTTCTAGTGCTTTAACTCAAAATAATTTTTATGTTAAAGTAGCATATTTTGGAGTGCCTTATTCTGCCACCCTTCAGGTCCAAGAGAAATGAGAATCAAAGATAAGCAAAGAAGTCGTTTTAAAAATTTTTTCAGAGTCCCAGAAATAAAACAATAACAAGGAGATAATATTTAAAACTATAATTTAAAAATAAATTACAGAAATAGAAAAAGACCTGAATCTATACATTGAGAGAGTTCACTGGGTACTTGGGAAAATTAATGTGGAATGATCAAATCTGAGACATATCAGACTAAATCTCTTAGATTTCAGGGATAAAGATAAATTACTCAAGTGCCCTAGGTCAAAAGATCAAATAACTTGCAAAGGCAAAATAATTAGAGTAGCATGAAACTTAAAAATCTACAAATGGAGACAATAATGGGGGCAGCATTTAATATTTTTTAATTTAAATTCAGTTAATTAACATATAATGTATTCGTTTCAGGGGTACAGGTATGTGATTCATCAGTCTTATATAATACTTAGTGCTCATTACATCACATACGTTCCCCAGTGTCCATCATCCAGTTACCTCATCCCTGTACCCCCTCCCCACCCGCAACCCTTAGTTTATTTCCTGTGATTAAGAGTCTCTTATGGTTTGTCTCCCTCTCTGGTTTTGTCTTGTTTCTTTTTTTTCCTCTCTTACCCTAATTGTCTTTCTCTGATTGACTTACTTCACTTAGCATAATACCCTCTAGTTCAATCCACATCCTTGCAAATGGGAAGATTTCCCATTTTTTTGATGAGTGTATAATATTCCATTGTGGGGTGTGGGGTGTGTGTGTGTGTGTGTGTGTGTGTGTGTGTGTGTATACCACTTCTCCTTTATCCATTCCTCTCTCAAAGGACATCTAGACTCTTTCCATAGTTTGACTGTTGTGGACATTGCTGCTATAAACTTTGGGATACAGGTGTCCTTTCAGATCACTGCTTATTTGTATCTTTGGGGGTAAATGCCCAGTAGTGGAGTTGCTGGGTCTTAGGGCAGCTCTATTTTCAACTTTTTGAGAAACCTCTAGACTGTCTTTCAGAGTGGCTGCACCAGCTTGCATTCCCACCAACATTGTAGGAGGGTTCTAAGGGGTAGCATTTTAAAAAAAAAAGAAAGAAAAGAAAACAACAGAAACCCTCAAATAAGGTATAAATCAAGGATTTTGTATACAACCAGGCTCTCCTTCAGATATCAAAGTAATACTGAAACGGTTTTGACCATATAAAAATTTAGGGTGTCCTGCATTTATCAGTCTTTCTTAAAGAATGTACTAGAGCAGGGGTCAGCAAACCATGGCTTTCCATCTGTTTTTGTAAATAAAGTTTTATTGGTAAATAGCCACAGTTGCTTGTTTACATGCCACCTGTGGCTGCTTTTATGCTACACTATGGCAGGGTTGAGTAATTGCAATTAAGGACCATATGGCCCATAAAACCTAAGTATTTACTTTATGGTTTTTTTACAGAAAAAAATATGCTGACCTCTATACCAGAGAATTCCTAACCAGTGACAGAGAAATTATCAGCATAGGACTAACATTGATCATGGCCTTTAAATACATATAGATATTCATGTAAGAGTAGAAGAGAGATGGGCACGGTAGAAGAAGACTAACACACAAATGATATGTACAGTGACAAAGTGAAATAATGTAACTTTAAAAATGGGAGGAGAAGGGATAAAGAGGAATATAGAAAAAAATCATTTTTGATTAGACAATAAGTGGGTGATAAAGAATACCCCTCACCAAAAGAGAAATGTAGTAACCAGATGGTGAATAGTTAAATAAAGGACATTTAGGGGCGCCTGGGTGGCTCAGTGGGTTAAAGCCTCTGCCTTCAGCTCAGGTCATGGTCCCAGGGTCCTGGGATCGAGCCCGGCATCGGGCTCTCTGCTCAGCGGGGAGCTTGCTTCCTCCTCTCTCTGCCTGCCTCTCTGCCTACTTGTGATCGCTGTCTGTCAAAAAGATAAATAAAATCTTTAAAAAAAAAAATAAAGGACATTTAAAAATGCAAGTACAAAGGCAACCACTAGAACAAAAATAAATAAACTTTCCTAAATACTAATCTGTGCCTCTTTTAGGGAAAGAAACAAGAATTTTTAATTCACAGTTATAAAATATCATGATAGATGTGTGACTAAACATATCAGTCCTATCAATAAATATGAATGGGCTTAATTTACTTATTAAAAGAAAAAGATTCAGAATTTGACTTGCAATGTAAAACCCAAGTATACTGTATCAGAGACCTATATCTAACCGTGAGTCAAATATTCTAAAAAGAAAAGATAACCAAAGGTGGAATTCTGTTTGTATTATGTAAATGGAAACAAAAAGGAATGGTAGTGATTCATTCTGATACCAGACAACATAGAATGTAAGTCACAGAGCATTAAACATACTAAAGGACACTTTTAAAAAAATTTTACTTATTTATTTGAGAGAGAGCAAGAGAGAGCATGATCAGAGGGAGAGGGAGAAGCAGGCTCCCTGCTGAGTCAGGAGCCCAAAGTGGGACTCGATCCCAGGATCCTGAGATCATGACCTGAGCTGAAGGCAGATGTTTAACTGATTGAGCCACCCAGTCGCCCTTAAAGGACACTTTTTAATGCTAAAAGCCATAGTTTACCGACAAAAACAAAAAAGAGGAAAGCCTTTATTACCTAGATATTAATAAATTCTCTTATTAACAACCCCTTGGTGGAAAGGGACATATGAGTTGAAATTGCAGGGTTTTAAAAAAATGATGACAATGTAGTCTCTTGTGATCGGCTTCTTTCAGTGAGCATAGTTTTCATGGTTTTTCTATGTCATAGCATATATCAGTGCTTCAGTCTCCTTTATTGCTGAATAATATTCCATTGTATGGATATATCACATTTTATTTATCTGTTCATAAGTTAATGGATATTTGGTTGTCTCTATCTTTTGACTATTGCAAATAATACTGATGTGAACAATTGGATAGCTTTTTGGAAAAAGACAAAATTAGATCCATATGTCACACCATACATAACAACAATCCCCAAATTGATTAGGAATGTAAATATAACAAATGAAAAATGATAGTGGAAAAACTGATGAAATTTGAATAAGATCTGTAGTTTAATTCATAATATTGTACAAATATTAATTTCCTGGTTTTGATAATTATCCTGTGGTTATATAAGATGTTAGTATTAGGAGAAGCTGGGTAAGGTACATATGGGCATGCTTGTTTTTGTTTTGTTTTGTTTTGTTTTTTGCAGCTTTTCTCTAAATTTAAAAATATTTTAAAAAAAAAAAGTTTTAAAATATCAGGTGGCAAACCAAAAAAATAAAGTAAATATATTCCACACAAGATGGGGGACTAAACCAAGGCTTATCCTTAGAGCCTTAAGAAAGGAAACATACTGGTGTTAACTAGAAAAGAGAGGTATTAGAGGATGGCCAACCTCCTTTTGAGAGTTGGTACCAGGAGGTAGCTGGTTACAAATCAAGAAGGCATGAGACTGAGTGCAGTTTCCTTTATTACTATAATATGTAAGGTAACGTAAGCCTTGCAACAGAGGTGGAAATTTTTCATGTATACACCATAATTAATTGTCTTTCAGTTTGGCCACTGTTTATTTCAGAGCCTTGGAGCTTGTAATGGTGTGAATTCACATTCTGAGGGATGGAAGGGTGGATGGAAAAATGCTGATAAAGTAAATGTTGGTTATCTTCATCTTTTTAAAGATTCCAGCGCCTTCTCATTAGTGTTCAAAGAACAGCTGGTGGTTTTGAAGAGCTGGAATCTTAAGAGAATTGGAAATCTTTTAGGCCTTTAATATTAAAAAAAGCTTAGCAAAAATGATATTTTCTCAAAAAGTGTGAAGTTACCCTTTTTTCCCCCCAAAAGTCTTAGTTCTGTGAAAAGATAGTTCTATTAGGTTAGAATTTATCTCTATCCGAAATGATCAGGGCCCAAGGTCATGCAGGACAAACATGGCTATTGAAAAGCCACTCATTCCTATGAAGTAAGAAAATCCTTTAGAAAACGTTTATTGGTTTGTAGGCTAACTGGACATCTTATGTTGACCCAAAGAAAGATTTATTATTTCTGTGTTTCTGATTATGCCATTTCTGGTTTTTATCATAAAATCAAGCAGGAATCATAGTAGGCATGGTTTTATTATTTTGGTTGCCATTTTGTTTTTTTGGAATTATGTTTGAAATAATGCAAAAATGGTTGATTAAATTAGATGTTTATAATCATTATATATAAAGTTCAGATTAGGTTCAGTTATGCAAGACTCTGTTATAGTAGCGTCTCCATAAGAAAATCAAATTCATATTACATCCCCTAACTTAGAGCTTTTTGTTCCCCCCAAGAACATAATTTACCATATGTACAAAGACTGCTGCTATTTAGATTCCCCTGGATATCTTTATCCAGCATTTTGTCAAAGGAGAAATTGCCTTATGCATAATCTGAAATAATTGAAATAATTGGAAGTATAATGAGAGCCAACATTTAGAAGCTCCCTTGTGTTTCTACTCTGCAAAATAAAATTATCACCGAATGCATTCATGTTTTAAGATTTAAGCGGACCTGGTAAATGAATCTTGTTTTCTAAATGTGCGGAGGGGCTAATATAAGGTGGTTGGTCTCCCTAAAACAGGTGTTAAAAGATCTTTTGAAGTTTGCCAATACATCTGCTAATTTACCATGTTGATGTGGCAGTTTGCAATATAGAGCTGATGACAGGAATCAGGATGTAGTTGAACTGTATTTTTAAAAATTCATATTATTTCCTATTCCTCTGCTTTCTATGATATATGTAACATCATTAATAATGTTCTCAGATGTCCCTGAGAGATTTGTAGTCTTGTTTTGTTTTTAGTGATTGTTAGGAATTGGCTTTAAAAGGAAGTCATTCATATGTGTGGTTCCCAGGATCCATTTCAGCATCTGACCAAATTTCACATTCTTGTTCACTTTTTGCATGGATTTCATTCCATTTCTGTGTTTAAGTTTAGAAGTCACAGTAGAGTGAACTGAAAAGCCTGGAAAAGGGCTTGGGTAAAGCACATTGGGATTTCCCTCTTTAGGAAGTATTTTTGAAGTGTCATTGGATGTTTGTTTTATATTCCCTGTTGGGTTGTGTCAGGGGAGAGGTTTATGTCAGCTATAAGATTTCAGACTCTGGAGCCAGATAATATGTGGATTTGAATACCAGTTCTACCATGTGCTTACAAGTTGTGTGGTCTTGGGAAAATTTCCCCACCTGTAAATGAGAATTAAGTCTCTACTTAGTAGGAATAAAGGACCAATCAATCAGTGAAAGACTAGTATTTTATTTTATTTCTGTTATATTATATATTACATTATTATGTTTTTGTAATTTTGTGGGTCATCTATTAGTCCTCATGTTTTAGAGGCTGCTATCATCATTCCTCATATTTTCAGGTTTCTTTAAAACAACAGAATCCACCCTGGCTAGTTGGAACAGAAGCAGAATTTATTAAAGGCTATCCGGTAGTTACTTGTGCAGCCAGGAACAGAGCCCAGTTCACCAACCAGGTTATTTAAGGGAAAACATCACTACATCACTTATCCAGGGACCCTACCCTGCTACCCTCAGAAAGTCTGATACTTCCCTCTGTGGTCACTGTAGGATGGATTCTCCATTATTTCCTCCTCAAGTTACTTAATTCCCAAGCGAAGTTCCGAGCATGGCATCTGGTTGGTGGAGTCTGCTCCCGTGATGCTTCCCTGGCTTCATGGAAGGACGGGGAAACAAGTTTTCTGTCTCTGACCTAGGGAAGTAGGACCAATAAAGAAGGAAATTCTTCAAACATTTCAAGGGTGTTCAGAAGGGGGTGGGCAGGCAGAAAATATGACGGCCCTCCTGGGACATTTTTGTTACAGTAGATTGATTCATAAAGACTAAAATATATCTAAATTATAAGAAAGGTGACTTAGGTTTATTATTCCTTCTTCAAATCATGTCTTATTTTTAAAGTAGACTTTGTTTTCAGACATAACTGTGTCACTTGCCCTTATCATTGAAATACTTGGCTTTATACATATAGGACATCTTGACTTTGTAGGCCATAATCACAAAAGCTAAGCAAGTTAAATCCAAGGGGATGAAAACTCATCTTCCTTACCCCCAAACCTCTGCTGGCTTTTAACATGAGTGCCGTCACTAGCCAATCTGTTTCTCTGCGTGGAAATACTGAAACTATTTCTCTCCTCCATGACATGGGAACCTGCCAATTTTTCCTTTCTGACTTTTTTGTTTTTCCTTTAGACATCCTTCTCTTATCTTACCTACTAACCTGGAAATTATGTGGCTAAATTGGGTCTCTGTGAAGAAAATGAGCATGGTAGCATGGTGGCGTGGGGGTGGGGGGAGGGTGGATACTGGGATTCAGCTAGAAGAAACAGTCTTTTTTTTTTTTCCCAAGCATTTCTAATTTTAAAAGAAATATATAGTGATTGTTGGAAATTTAAAAACTTAAAAATCTAAAAGGAAAATAAATTTCCAGAGTCCTGTCCTACAGAGTTAAGCATTTTGGTGTGTTTCCTTCCCAGTGTTTTCTCTGCAGGCATGCTTGGATGTAAGGAGGGCAGTTTAAAAGAGAAAGAGGGCAGTTGTTTTTACAAAACCAGAATCGGGTTGTATATGTTAAACCCTACTTTCTTCATTTATGTCATGAATAATTTCCTGTATCATTTAATAATAGCTAATATTTGTTATTTACTATGTGGTAGTCACTCTTCTGAGCACTTTATAAATAGTAACTCATTTAATCTTTTCAGGAGTCTCTGTGGTAAGTACTGTTATCATCTACATTTGTTACATGAGGAAACTGAGTCACAGAAATATGTTCAAAGTTGTCTGTGCTCACAAAGTAGTTAAGTGATAATGACTATGAGCTCACGTTCTCCCTAGTATTTATCTGTGGGAGCTCTTGGAGGCCTGGGTTGAAAGTATGTTCCCGCAGAAAGGATTATTTGTGAGGTCCCATAAATAGTATGAATTCTTTGCCCAAACATTCCTAAGAGTAGGCTTATGATTAGGAATTCTCAGAGGTGCCTTTGCTTCCACCCTCCTTGCTGGACACTAACCAAGGCTGAGGCAGGCAAATAGCTTCATCTGTTGTCTTCCTCTGGAAGGCTGTGTTTTTCCAATTCCATTTACCATGGGAGAATAGCAGAGAAGGAAGGGGTGGGTATCTCAAGGGCTTGTGATCCAACCTTTTATTTTACAGGACTCCAGGCTTGTCCTCTGACCCCCAGCATTTTACAGGTTCAAGCTCATGCTCTAGTCCAGACCTTCAAGGATGAGCAGAATCCTCTGGGAAAACTTTCTTCAGCCTTGGCTTACCAAGGGGTTTCAGAATTCTTTCCTACCTTATAGGATTTGGTTATTCTCCTGACAATTCAACTGTGTATTTAAGTTTTTAAAAATATTTATTCAGCATTTTTGGTCTTTTATACCGAGGGCTGCTTCTAGCCTCAAGTCTACCACCACATTGGAAGAAAGGGAGTTAGATCTTTTTTCCTAAAAATATAAGTTTTAAATTTTATGTGGTAGCTTCAGAAGTTAAACTTAACAGGTCAACTCAGTTTTCTAGGTCACAATCAAGAGCAGAGAAAGACATTAAAAAGAAGCAGTAACTACCAATTTGGGTCTCTTAATAGTGTAAAGGGCTCTATGCTAAGTGCTTTGCAGGGATGATCTCATTTAATCCATCACCACTATTCTGTAAGATAAATACTATCATTCCCACAGTAAAGATGAGGATGATGAAGGTTCAGGAGATTTGCCCAAGATCACATAACTAATAGGTAATTTATAATATTGACCTTGGGTCATCAAGAAAAGGTTAAATTATACTTGATGAAATCTTTAAGTTTCTTGCACTGCTATTTTGAAAGACAGCAAAATGTGTAATATATCTTAAATTTCCATTTAAATTGTGTTGTTGCAGATCAGTGTCCTGTTATTGTATTAAAAAGATAAGCATATCAACGAAATACTGAAGGCAGTTCACCTTGCCTTCTTTACTCTTTTGCCTTCTTTAAGAAAAATTACTCTTAAAATACCTCCCAAGGATTTTTCTGGCTGTCAAATCCCAAAACACATTTGTCAGCTTGAACGAGAAGAGAAACTTTGGCCAAGGATTTAAGAGATTAATTGCTAGACATGGATATCTTTTGTTCCATAATTCATCGCAAAACACTTCTCCCTCAACTTCAGACAACTGTGTGGTATTTGGTTATAATGTTAATATACACTTCCCTCTATGGAAGTGTTTCTTAGAAATTTAAGTATTTTTTCCAGTTGAACATTCATGTTATGAATCAGACTTGGAAAATGTGGAAAATTTTTTAGTACAGTAATTTGAAGTACTGTTTCTCAGGTAGTGAGTGTTTTCAGTGAAACTTCTTTTTCGTGTGTGACAGTTTTCTGTTTGCAAGTTAGGAGATAAATATTGAGACAACAATGTAAGTTCTTCTCATCCAACTTTTTTTCCCCTAATGTAACCAGTCTCTGTCAGTCCAGGAAAATCAGAAAAAGGATTTCTGGTAAGACACTCTGCCCAAATTCAAAAGTAGATGGTTTCCTTGGTGTTTTGACTCCCTCTGTGCCAGGCTAGTTAGTTATTATTACATACTTAGATATCAGTAAAATTTCTGTAGAAATG